GCCACGCAACGCCGCACGCCAACGCACGCCAACGCAACGCCAACGCTCGCCAACGCACGCCAACGCACGCCAACGCAACGCACGCCAACGCACGCCAACGCACGCCAACGCACGCAACGCACGCCAACGCACGCCAACGCACGCCAACGCACGCCAACGCACGCCAACGCACGCCAACGCACGCCAACGCAACGCACGCCAACGCACGCCAACGCACGCCAACGCTCGCCAACGCACGGAGCCCGGGCTCATGTATCATGTGATCGCTTTGACCAATCAGAGCGAGAGGAGTTACAGAGGAGCAGAGTGGAGCCGAAGCGAACGATTATAAAGTGTTTTTTAAGACGACTGAAGGATTTTGAGCTGAGAAAAAGTTTATGATCTAAAAATAAGTAAAAATTGCCACAAAATCTAACATTTTTGAAAGTTGAAGGTCCCTGTCAGACGAACATGAGCAGTTTATGATCACACTTGACTCTATGAGAAAAATCTTCTCTCGGCCCATGTTACTTTTTCCCCTGTAGAACCAGAAAGAGTCACTACGTGAACTGGAGGCAGCTACAAGCACCAAAACTGTATCCAGTTATTTTAACAGATCCGTGCTCTGGACCTTCTGTCTCTGGTCTGGACCTGAGTTCATGTTGTCACCAGAGGAACCGACCAGAGTTTGGCGTTTGGTGCAGAGTCACTAAATCATGTGACTGAGACCAGCTCGTTTTTTCAGTCTTGGTCCTTTGATTTCGTGAGGATCTGAGTGTGATTGAATCTTTCACACCAACGAAAACCAACCGAACTAAGAGCTCCTGGTTCCAGTGGAAGGTTTGGTGCACCAACTGCTGTCGCTGTGAAATCTGTGTTACATTTTGAAATAAAAAATATATAATTATTGATTAACCAAGTAACACATTTATTTATTTTACATTTTAAACTTGGAGTCTTTAAAGGGCCTGTAGCCTATTTTTTTCCCAGTCATTTAAGCCAAACGTGTCTTGCCTCAAATTAGAAAGAATTTTTAATGCCCGAGAATCAGGAAGTGTGTGTTAACATGCTAGTTGTTATCTTTACCATCACTCCGCTCTGGTCTGTGAGAGTGAAAAGTGTTTTTAAACTCATCGTGGTGAATCATGAAGAACTGTGAAGCTCTGCAGACGGTTTATAATCAACTAATTCTGTTTTTCACGATTTTTAAAACCGTAAAAATCAGGTCCAGAGTTTTAAACACGATGCTTCCACATGTCACTCGCTCTCCTCTGATTGGTCGTCTGATCTCATTTACATATTTCTGCCTCTGAACTCGTCGTGTTCTGATATTTGAGCACAAACTCTGAGAGAAAGTCCCACAGCGCGGCTTTTCGGTCCAAACTGAACTCCGTGCCGAGCGGTGGAGATGGAGGAGGACGTGACTCACCGCTCCTCGGGCCAAAACAGACCTGCTGCTGCTGCTGAGGGGTTTACACCAGATGCCCTCCCACGGGCCCAGACTCCGGCCTCGGCTGAGCTCCGCACACGAGAAAAACACAAGGGCAGGAGTTAAAAAAAGGGAAATTTAAAAGATCCGACAGGCGTCTTCTGGCACGTGATCATGTCGTAGTTTCAGACTTTTCAGAATTTTCTCCTCACCAAAATTAAGAATAAAATCCAGGCAAAGACAAATGTACTAAAAGTGCCCTTAGGTCTTGAAGGATTTAAAGGTTTTATATCACACAAAACTTGACTCTTGTGAGTTTTAAGTCGTGTTCTAATGTTGTTTCCTCGTCAAAAACAGAGCTGGACTTGTGTTTTGTTTCATTTAAATGTTTGAGTAACTCTTTATACTATTTCTGTTTACATCTCCTAAGCTCAAAACGCTAAAGCCTAAATGTGCTTTGAGTTTGTGTGTTAAACGTGTAAATGAAACAAAACACAACTCCAGGTCCTTTTTAAAAATCCTTGAAACATGTTACACTTTGTTAATTGTCGTGTATTTATTGAGTTTTTGGTTGTTGTTTTGTGATGTTTGTGTAAATGAATCCACTCGAGGTGCATTAGGCCCGGAGCGGCGCTGAGCGGAGGCCAGAGGTTTGTGCCGAGGTCGACGCCGCGTTTAACAAAAGCCCCGATGGAAAATAAACTCGAACGTGACAGAGACGAACGTTCACGATTCAGATCTGAAGTGTTCAAAACAGAAACACGCTTCAGCTGAATCCGAGAGAGACATTTAAAAAGCTTGAACAGGAGGTGCTTTACTTCTCTGGGGCATTAACTGTAAAACATCACATATTTACATCACAATGTTCTTTTTTTGTGTTTTAAAAATGCTCCAAAACAACGTAAAATGTAAAATATAAACACTTAAATCTGTCAGAAAACGACTTGAAAGTGTTGAAATGAACATTTTACTGGACAATTTCTCTTAAAATAAACGACCTCTAGACTGGAGGGTTAAAATTTTAGGGTAAAATATTTGTTGATTGAGTTGTTCTTAACACAGAAATTGTTTTTTTTAACTATTTGAAAGTTAAATGAGTGTTTGAGTTGGGGTTATTTGCCAGAGTTGATATGGTTGAAGTGAATTCAACTTCCTCTGGTGTCAATTCAACTTACCTTTAGTGTTAATTCAACTTTCATTAGTGTTAATTCAACTTTCATTAGTGTTAATTCAACTTCCCTTAGTGTTAATTCAACTTTCCTTAGTGTTAATTCAACTTTCATTAGTGTTAATTCAACTTCCTCTTAGTGTTTAATTCAACTTCCTTAGTGTTAATTCAACTTCCTTAGTGTTAATTCAACTTCCTCTAGTGTTAATTCAACTTCCTTAGTGTTAATTCAACTTCCCTTAGTGTTTAAATTCAACTTTCATTAGTGTTAATTCAACTTTCTCTAGTGTTAATTCAACTTCCCTTAGTGTTAATTCAACTTTCCTTAGTGTTAATTTCAACTTCCTTAGTGTTAATTCAACTTCCTTAGTTAATTCAACTTCCTCTTAGTGTTAATTCAACTTTACTTAGTGTTAATTCAACTTTCATTAGTGTTAATTCAACTTTCATTAGTGTTAATTCAACTTCCTCTAGTGTTAATTCAACTTCCATTAGTTTTAATTCAACTTCCTCTAGTGTTAATTCAACTTCTCTTAGTGTTAGTTTGTCTCCTCCCACCTCCATTTCAAACTCCGGCGAGAGTAGAACCAGTTTGAACCAGTTTTGTTCATAATTTGATCTTAAATTAACTCAAATAAAGTGTAAAAATAAAACATGTCTGTGTGTTGTTTAATGAAATCAGGATAACTCTACAAAGTGTTATCAGTTTAACTCTCAAAACGTTCATATAACTCTGGATTTTGGGGTTAAACAGGAACTTTGGTCCAGTGTTTTCAAAAATGTTAAATTAACTCTAGAACAGATTGGACTCATATAAACTCTGAGTTAATAAATTAAAATAAAAATTAAAAAAACAAAACATAAAAATTAAATAAAAAAATAAAATATAATAAAAATAAAATAAATTCTGTGAGAGTCAATTTGAGTAAATTTGAAAACAAGATGAATAACCTGAAATTAGTTTTAAAATTTTGACCAGATCAGAAAAATCTACAGTGTGAATGTTCAGTGAGTTTCATTTTTGATTTTGATGCTCTGAGTTTTTCTCTATTTGCTCCCCGCGCTGAATCACTCCCCCTTCAGAGCGCTTTGCTGTTGTTGTTTTTTGCCGTCTTCAGTTTTGCGTCATGTTTTTGTACATTTATGTAGAGTTGTCGTGTGGGAGCGTGAGTGACGGACACTTGTGGGCGGAGCCTCGTACAAAACCGTTAGGAGGGTTTGAATAGGGCCCAGGAGAGATCACTATATTACTCAAACATGCATGGATGGCTCTTAAACCTCTTCAGAAAGGTTTTTGATGAAGGAAAGTTTCCAAATAAACACAAAAAAAGATCACAAAGTAAATCATAAATAAAAAATAAATTAAAATGCATAAAACTAAAAATGAAAAAAATAAAAATAAAATAAATAAATAAATAAAAGACCCAGAGGAGCGTACGACTCCCGCGGTGTTAAAAGCCACGGAGTAAAAGTGGGTTTGAAGATGAGGTGCGCTGGGGGCAGGGGCGTCCCTGTCACGGCTGAAAAATGAGGCGTGTTTGGACCATAGCAGTGTGTGTGGGACCCCCCTGGCGGCGCCTCCCTCTCCGAGTTTACATAAAACCCACGACCGAGTGACAAATGAAACTCCAACAGAGACCAGGGCCCCAGAACAGGGACTGAACCAGGTCTGAACCAGGACTAAACCAGGACTAAACAAGGACTAAAACCAGGAACCAGGACTAAACCAGGACTAAACCAGGACTAAACCAGGACTAAACCAGGACTAAAACCAGGACTAAACCAGGACTAAACCAGGACTAAACCAGGTCTAAACCAGGACTAAACCAGGACTAAACAAGGACTAAAACCAGGTCTGAACCAGGACTAAACCAGGACTAAAACCAGGACTAAACCAGTACTAAACCAGGACGGAACCAGGACTAAAACAGGACTAAAACCAGGACTAAACCAGGACTAAACCAGGACTAAACCAGGACTAAAACCAGACTAAACCAGGACTAAACCAGGACTAAACCAGGACTAAACCAGGACTAAACCAGGACTAAAACCAGGACTAAACCAGGACTAAACCAGGACTAAAACCAGGACTAAACCAGGACATCACGTCACATGTGTTGTCTTCTTCTTCTACTTCATCTACTACTTCTACTTCTATTACTTCTACTTCTTCTACTACTTCTTCTACTTCTGCTTCTTCTACTTCTACTACTTGTACTTCTACTTGTACTTCTACTTGTACTTCTACTTGTACTTCTGCTTGTACTTCTGCTTGTACTTTACTTCTACTTGTACTTCTACTTGTACTTCTGCTTGTACTTCTGCTTGTACTTCTACTTGTACTTCTGCTTGTACTTCTGCTTGTACTTCTACTTGTACTTCTTCTTCTTCTTCTTGTGTTCATCTGTTTGTTTTTTCTTTCAGTGGATCAGAAAGAGACTCTGGAGCGAGAGACCAAGTTTAAGATCCTGGAGGCCGGAGTCGCTGATGTGAGTTTGTCTTTTTATTTTCTCTGAAACATTAAACCGCAGCACAGACGTTTACAAACCAAACCTGAGAGTCTGAGGTTCAATCCCAGCTCAGTCCTTGAGCAAGACACTTCACCCGCCTTGTCTGGTCTGTGTATGTGTGTGTTGGTAGTGCTGGGAGCACTCACTTTCAGCAGTTTGTCCCAGGGCAGCTGTGGCTACAGTAATAATTAGAGCCCGACCGATATATCGGCTGATATGGGCACATGGCGGTATATGGGCCGATATTTCCCGTGGGCATGTGATACGTCGTTAAAAATCTTAGACTCTGTACATTCTGTTCATTTAATCCAATTTACAGATAAATGTCCAAATATGTGGCTCTGCGTCAGTATTTATCTGCGGTGTCATTTGTCTGTGTGTGTGTCCGTACTGTCCCTGAACACACCACAGAGTCACGTCACACATGTGTGTTTGTTTACACTCACACACACAGATCCAAACACTGAGATTATTTTCTTTTTACGGACAATCGGTTTGAGTCTGGATTAAAAGGACATTTATTAGTTCAGACTTGTGATGTGGGAGGAGCCTGTGTGATGTGGGAGGAGCCTGTGTGAGGCTGAGTGTTGGAAATATGTCGACTTTGAAGCTGGTTTTGGCTGTTTGTTATTGTTGATGATCTGCTGTGTCTCTCACACATAAACAGTCTGTTTTCTATTGGTCTGTTGTAAATTGATTATATTGTCTTTATATTTGTTACTGAACCTGTATTGATGTAAATGAGCTGTGAACAGACGTGTGAATTATGACATTTGCACATATAATTAATTACTGCGGTGCGCAGCATTTACGGCTAAAGGCTAATAGCGCTATTTTCTTTACTAGTGATGGTCGGTCGCGATCAATGCGGCTCTTAGATCCGGCTCTTTGAAGCGAACGAACGGGAGCCTGATCCTTATTGGGAGCCGTGTTTTCTCTTTCTCTCACTTTTTTTCTCTTCACGCCGCGTGCAGACTCGTCGGTTTGACAGCGACAGCGGCTCAAAACGAAACTTTGAGAAATTTGCGTGCATAGGAGAGTTTAAAAAAACAAAAAACGAGCATATTTGGCTGTAGTTTAGCATAAAATAAATAAGTCCCGGTTTAGTCCTTTTTCAGTCCTGCTTTAGTCCTGCTTGCAACAAAACAATCTGAAGAGTCGCTTGGGAGCCAAAAGAACCAGCAGCTTTTAGTGAGCCGAGCCAAAAGAGCCGGTTCTCTAAAAAGAACTGGAATCCCCATCACGAGTGTCTAGAATGTGATGCAAAAAATACCATTAATCCAACCTACTGTCTGTAAATATGATGTAAAGAGGCAGAATAACAATAAATGTTGCCTAAATAAACACAATTTAAAATCCACCAGAGCCAAACCTAAGTTTTTTAAACAATTCAACATTTACAGTGAATTTTTACATCACTAAATAAATCAGTGATTATATCGGCAGCTCCAACTCCCATTATATCGGTTTCATATCGGCCACAGCAAAATCCATATCGGTCGAGCTCTGGTAATAATCTTCAGCAGGTTCAGAGGACAGGGTCTGTCTCTCTCTCTACCTCCATCTTTTCTCTCTTTCTCTCTCCTGGTCTCATGTCCAGGTACAGCTTTTTTTTTTGGAGGAGGTGTAAATGAAACACTCGTCTGTCAGACTTCAGGGACTCGTCACAGACTCAGACTCGGATTCAGACTCGGACTCTGACAGGGACGTGTGGATTTACTCGAGAAATTTTTACAAAATTATAACTTCACAAAAATATTTTCCCTCAGATTTTGTTTAATGCATCAAACATGAATCATTTTTTAACCAATCGTTTAGTCCTGGTTTAGTCCTGGTTTAGTCCTGGTTTAGTCCTGGTTTAGTCCTGGTTTAGTCCTGGTTTAGTCCTGGTTTAGTCCTGGTTTAGTCCTGGTTTAGTCCTGGTTTAGTCCTGGTTTAGTCCTGGTTTAGTCCTGGTTTAGTCCTGGTTTAGTCCTGGTTTAGTCCTGGTTTAGTCCTGGTTCCTGGTTTAGTCCTGGTTTAGTCCTGGTTTAGTCCTGGTTTAGTCCTGGTTTAGTCCTGGTTTAGTCCTGGTTTAGTCCTGGTTTAGTCCTGGTTTAGTCCTGGTTTAGTCCTGGTTTAGTCCTGGTTTAGTCCTGGTTTAGTCCTGGTTTAGTCCTGGTTTAGTCCTGGTTTAGTCCTGGTTTAGTCCTGGTTTAGTCCTGGTTTAGTCCTGGTTTAGTCCTGGTTTAGTAGTCCTGGTTTAGTCCTGGTTTAGTCCTGGTTTAGTCCTGGTTAGTAGTCCTGGTTTAGTCCTGGTTTAGTCCTGGTTTAGTCCTGGTTCCCTGGTTTAGAGTCCTGGTTTAGAGTCCTGGTTTAGTCCTGGTTTAGTCCTGGTTTAGTCCTGGTTTAGAGTCCTGGTTTAGTCCTGGTTTAGTCCTGGTTCCTGGTTTAGTCCTGGTTTAGTCCTGGTTCAGAGTCCTGGTTTAGTCCTGGTTTGTTCCAGAGAGTCCAGAGTCCAGGAGTCCTGGTTTCCAGAGACCGAGTCCAGCCCCCGCGGCGAGGCTCTGTGTGAGCGGGAGGGAGGGAGGGGGGTCTGTGTGTGTGTGTGCGCGGCAGATTTGATGAACCACCGTTGTAAGTTTAACATTTTGAGTCGTAACTTTGAATCGAACTGTTCCTCGTCTAAAGTTTTTGCTGGGCTCAGTTTTTTGTTTCCGCTAAAAGTTCAGCTCTTTTATGGAAGATTATTTTATTTTTCATCAGATTTTGAATTTTAAACGCCGTTGTTTTTCTCAATTTGATTTTTTTAACTCTGAAAAAACATGTTTGAATTATTTTTATTCTTAATTTTTCCTCATCCACATTATCCATAGAATTTATCCTCCGCAAATAATGACTCCAGTCCACAAAACAGCGCTAAAAATTCAGTTTGAGTCGTTCTTTAAAAGTAAAAAGGTGGGAGTAGTTCCTCTCGTGTGTCTGTTTACGGATCGAGCTGAAGCTGCAGATTCTCCACAGTGATTCTACTTCCTGTGGATTTTAACTCCAATCTTTTATGTTTTAAAAATCCTGTATCTGAAGTTTTGCTCCATCCATCCATTTTCTTCCGTTTATCCGGGGTCGGGTCGCGGGGGCAACAGTCTGAGGAGGGACTCCCAGACTTCCCTCTCCACACACACGTCCTCCAGCTCTTCCAGGGGAATCCCGAGGTGTTCCCAGGCCAGTCCAGAGACATAGTCCCTCCAGTGTGTCCTGGGTCTTCCCCGGGGCCTCCTCCCGTGGGACATGAACACCTCCTGAGGGAGACGTCCAGGAGGCATCAGAACAGATGCCCGAGCCTCAACTGGCTCCTCTCGACGTGGAGGAGCAGCAGCTCTACTCCGAGCTCCTCCCGTGTGACTGAGCTCCTCACTCTGTCTCTAAGGGAGACGCCCAGACGCCCTGCGGAGGAAACTCATTTCGAGCGCTTGTATCTGCGATCTCGTCCTTTCGGTCACTACCCAGAGCTCATGACCAGAGGTGAGAGTAGGAACGAAGACTGACCGGTAAATCGAGAGCTTCGCCTTTCGACTCAGCTCCTCTTCACCACAACGGTCCGATACAGCGACCGCATCACTGCAGACGCTGCACCTGTCCACCTGTCAATCTCACGCTCCATCCTCCCCTCACTCGTGAACAAGACCCCGAGATACTTGAACTCCTCCACTTGAGGCAGAGACTCTCCACCCGGAGACAACAAGACGCCTTTTTCCGGTCAAGAACCTCGGACTTAGAAGAGCTGATCTTCATCCCAGCCGCTTCACACTCGGCTCCACATTTCACAAACTAGAAAAGCAGTCAGAGAGCGCAGACCTCCGCCAAGGACTACAGTCCCCCTCATATTAATTGTGTTTTCCATAAATATTTGTCTCGTATCTTTCAATTTGGAATATGAAAGAGGATCCCATTGTCCATCCCTTAGTCAAACTTCATGGGGTTTGGTCAATAATTAACCCAGATATTGAGAAACAAACATTTTTGGCCCCATTTACCACAATGTTAACTAAAATTTCAAAGTGATCCAGAATCCAGGAAATGAAATCAGTGAAATCAGTTTCCTTTTCACATTTCCAAAAATCCTGAAAATTGGTCCATAACTTTTTGAGTTATGTTGCTAACAGACAAACAAACAGACAAACAAACAAACAGACAAACAAACAAACAAACAAACAAACAAACAGACAAACGCCGGCATAAACATAACCTCCTTGGTGGAGGTAATAATAATAACAACACAGTTTTGACTTGATCTGATCTTTGACACTTGAGAGTCTCAGAGCGACTGGAGACAGGAAACATCTGACGTCATCACAGACTCACATGTTTATCTCCTGATCCACACACAGATCCCACTGCAGACTGTCAGAGCACAGATTTAAAATCTCGTCAGATTCTCCTCGGGTCTGTGGTTTGCGCTTTTTTCACGTTTAAAAATCGTTTAAGACCGAAAAATCCTGTAGTGTGTGTCGGGCGTAAGACTTTGACTAAACTATAAAGTGTGAGCGCAGCGTGAGGGAGATGATTCTAGACTCTTCAGTATGGATCTATAATAAGATCTTGTTCTTCTTCGGCGCTCTGAGCTCATGACAGACAGAGTGTGACGTTCTGATGTGAACCCTCCTGTTAGAGACTCAGACTGTGGTCGTGTCGGGGCTGTGATCTGCAGGACCAGGATCCACCTCAGACATTTAAAATCACATGTTTAAAAATCATTTAAGACCAAAAAATCCAGCAGTGTGTGTCGGGCTTTAAACTGTTTTCAAAAGTCGTATTGTGCCGATGTGTCAGAGTCCGACCAAACCCGTCAGGTCCGAGTATCATTTGTTCATCCATTTTTAAATATAAAACCAAAAATAAGAAAAAAAAAAAAATCAGTTTTCTTCATTATTTGTCTCAAAACAAACATGAAAAAACAAATATTGATTTGTTTTTTCAGTTTTCGATTTTGTGTTTAAATG